TATTCCGGGTTTCCGAACATCATCGTTTTATTGGCGGAGAAGTTCGGAATATGTTGGGCTTATATTGGTTTATGGTCATGGGCCAACCCAAGGGACATAAATTAAGCATCCGACAGAGTTCCGAAGACCCGAGTAGAATAAAAGAGTTAATTAGCATGAAATATATTTTGTTGCGCGGTAACACTGATAAACAAAGATGGCGGCCAATATTGTATTTGTTGATGAAGGAACTATTGATGAAGTTGTCGGCGGAGAGGATAGCGATTTAGATGAAAATATGGATAACTCTGAAAGCAGTGAAGAAGATGACAGAAGAGAAGAAGACAGTGATGGCGAGGTGGACGGCGAAGAAGAAACCGAAGAAGACAACTGGGTCCTTGGCGATCGCATCCCGCGAAGGCTTGACTTCTCAGCTGATCGAGGGTTGAATGTGGAGCTTCCTAACAATCTATCATTCTCTGACTACTTTCATCTCCTCTTCCCCGAAAACCTATTCAACGAGATTGCATCCCAAACAAATAAATATGCTACGGAAACAATCGCATCTTTACAGCGAAGAGGTCGTTTACCTCAGCACTCGAGATTTAGAAATTGGCCTGAGGATGGTGTGACAGCTGGTGAGATAAAAGCTTTTCTTGCCATGATCATTGCAATGGGCCTGGTGAATCAAGAGAATATCCAGGATTACTGGTCCATCGACGAGGTTTTATCAACTCCCTTTTTCCCTCAAATTATGTCAAGAGACAAATTTATGAACATTTTAACATTTTTTCACTTGTGTGATAATGATGATTATGTTCCTCGAGGACAGGAAGGGTATGACCCAATAAAAAAGCTTGGCACTATATACAGCGTTGTCACTGGGAAATTTTCAGATGTCTGGAAGCCAGGCAAAAATATTTGCATTGATGAGGGAATGATTCCATTCAGAGGAAAGGTGCATTTCAAAGTGTATAATCCTGACAAGCCAGATAAGTATGGTGTTAAGTCATACCAGTTGTGTGACTCAAGTAATGGATATTGTTGTAGGTTTGAAATTTACACTGGTGTAAACCCAGAACCACCCAGTGCTAAAGGAAAGACATATGACTTAGTCATGAGGCTCATGCAACCTTATTTGAATGCGGGTAGGTGTTTGTATGTTGACAACTACTACACATCACCTACTTTATTTGCTGAGCTCTATAGGCAGAACACTGGGGCCTGTGGAACAGCCAGATACAGGAAAGGTATCCCCCAGCAATTTAAAAGGGCACAAGTGAAAAAAAAAGGTGACAAGTATGTTATGAACAATGGAACTTTGCTGGCAGTTAAATTTAAGGACCGCAGAGTTTTCCAGATGCTGTCATCAGTTCATTCTGTTGTGGATGTAGAAGTTGGCCGAAATCACCCTGGAACTGGCCAACCAATAACTAAACCTGAGATTATCCATGACTACAACATGACGCACCATGAAATGGTGGAAGAAAGTGTTCTTCCACCTGTTTTCCTTAAGCATCCTGAATGCTTACATCCTGTACAAGCAAAGAACCCGGTCACCTGTGCTGCAAAGGACTTTTAGAAGGGAGCTTGTGAAGGAGCTTGTTAGGAATTCTGGCATCTCCCATTCTCTCACTCCGAGAGGCCGCCCAAGGAGGTCAGCCGAAGGCTTAACCCGTCTTCAAGTTGGAGGTCACTTCCCAGAGAAAATATTGGGCACTGGGAAGAAGTCCAACATCACCCGGGCATGTGCGGTTTGCTTTCCTGCCCAAAAGAAGATCCTAAAAAGGGCAGGAGAGAAAAGGAAGAGGCCAGGAAAAGAGTCTAGCTTTCAGTGCAGTGTCTGTAAAGTAGCCCTCTGTATACAGGACTGCTTCCAGTTGTTCCACACTGTTCAGGACTATGTTGCTGCCTACATTCGAAGACACGATGCCAATAATGACAATGAGGATGCTGAAACTAACTGATCATAACCATTATTCATCTTTTGTTTGGTTTTGTTAGGTTTTGAAGTCAATTCAAACACAGAAATACATAAATTTACAACATAGACCCCAACAACTGAGCTGACTGTTTTGAACTAATTCAAAACCAAACAATGTACATAAATTCCTAATTTTGAGTATGTGTTGACTTGACAAGTATGCAGTCTTGCTACTATATTGAGAAAAACAAATGTTGTCACAGACACAGGAATTGTTTTATTAAGCTCGTGGACTAGGCCTTAACTCTGATTGCCATTTTAGGCTTGTACAGATAATTTTTGGAAGAAATTAATATGATTTGTTTTTTGTTAATGTATAATTTTTGTCAAGTTTTTCCAAAAGCATGATTTCATAGCTAAAATTTTAAAAGCAAAATAGGTTAAAAGTTTATTGTAATAGAATAATCAGAAAGGCAATTTCTTAAGCTTTAATTTGATATATAGGTTGTTGGGATTTGATGAAATGTAAAGCTTGCACTGCTGATGAAAGGATCAACTGTCGTGTATAAGTGTGTTACTAAAAATAAAGTCAGTTTAGGGGATTGTAACCTGAACTCGAACTCAGCATGATAAGGGTTAAATTTCACTTGAAAATCAATAACGCATGCCCTTTGCAATTCACCCGATATCGGTTTTCGCATGCAATTTTATAGGAAAATTCATTACCTGACTCGTGAATTCCGTTTTAAATTGCACGTGAAAACCGATATTGCATGAATTGCGAAGCGATGAGTGCGATGTCCGTTTTCAAGTGCAATTTAATGCGGAATTCACGAGTCAGGTAATGAATTTTCCTTGAATCGCATCATTGAATAAAAATGGAAAAACAAGAAAACAGCAATAAAATTGTTTGTTTTCATCCTGGGCGCGTGCCCCAGAAAGCCATTTCGAAGTCAACTGTCAGAACTGTCATTGTGTTAGTGAATAGGAAGCAAGGTCAGTCGTACACGTTAGAACCTTCGACATCTTTTATTTGAACCTTGTTTTTACATTCGGTTTCAAACTTTTTGAAGAAGCTTCACACCATTTAAGGATAATGGTGGTATTTCACTGAATTTACAAGCCGTTTATTTTTTAACATCGTTTTTTCAAATTTCCACTGAATTTGCTCGAGAAGGAAAACAATTTACACCTTTTATCTCTTTGGTGGCAAAACAGAAAGAAATGAAGTGTGCAAGCGAAAGCACGGAGAGTTTAACATCGCGATTAATATAAGGTGAGTACCTTGAAGTGTAAATATGTGTACTGATCGATATTTTATTCTTTTAAAAACAAAGAAGTGTTTCATGAAAAGTCCAAAAACTCTGATCTTTTTATTTGTAGAAATTCACTACTGGCAACTGCCATTAGCTGAATTGTTGGGATGAGCATTCGACTGAAAGTTGATGGAAATATTCTCTGGAGAGTTGTTGAATGATACATAGGTAATCAGTCCACTTAGAACTCTTGCTGTTAGACCATCACTGCCATTATACATTGCTTTTGTGTCATAATTAACTACTGATAGAAGTGCAAGGCTGTTGACATCAATTTCTCCCAAAGCTTCAGTGCATGGACCCCCGCTGACGTTAGCAGCTGTGACAGTCGTAATGGTACAACTGAAAACTCAGCCAACTTGCTTGACATCCTTCGTTGTTTTTCTAAAAGATTATGGCTGTAGGTAGATATTGAACCTGGGTTGGCGTGACCTGTTGGCTCAGAGATTGTTTTTTCTGGGCCATGTTCACAGGATTTTCACGCTTTCGCATTGTCGCGAGCGCAGAGGTTTTTCGTGCCTCTCCAAGAATTTATAGTTCGACAGTTCAAAACAAGGAAGAACCTCAGGCTCACTTTGAAAAACGCTTTTTTTGTTTTAGGCTCTTTAAAAGGTGACAATGGTTTTGAAAACATTTTAAATTGACTTAGAAACCAAACTTTGTAACAATTTGGCAATAGCTGTTATGCTTGCTTATATGCGAAACAATATTACTTAGTCTCGTTTTCAACTCGCAATTCCATGCTAAATACCTCGCTTCTTTAACCAATAAGAACGCGAGATTGTATTCAATGATGCAATTCAATGCAGAATTCCCTCATCAAGTGATGAATTTTCCTATATAGCATTTATTTTGATCTAACACCAAATTCTCATAACTAATTAACAAGGAAATGTGTTGTAAAAAGAAGTAAGAATTGAAAGTCAGATCTTGGGAATTAAAGGGTTCTAACCCTTCCATCCTCATATCGGTATGCATATTCTCCATACTGTTCTGTATACATTTCCTAGGATGCTGACAAGGAGAATTTGTCCAACCCTTTAGAGTGATTAGTTTCTAATTTCCCTTTGCAGAAATACAACTGAATCACACATCTAGAGCATGAGAATAAAGCAAATGATCAGAAAACTTAGAAGCTTTGATTGTTAAACAAATAATTATTAGAATTGTGTGGAGAAATGTATGGAAAATAATTATGGATACTGATGTTAGGGTAAATACTGTTAACCATCAAGAACTTTGTTTGAAAGTGATCTTCGCAGTAAAGAACCCTACTATGTAGTAGTGGAAATAAGGCCTAAAAAAAAAAAAAAAATTCAGGCCCTTACAAGATTTGAACCCGTGACCTCTTCGATACCAGTGCAGTGCTCTACCAACTGAGCTATCAAGCCAGCTGGGAGCTGGTCATTATATTGGTTCATATTAAAACTTAGAAGTGATAAATCAATGAATTTGAATGTATGAAAATCATATATGTGTAATGTGGTTTCATTAAATGAACTAAAGTGACCTTGCAATAATGAATAAAGGCTGATAGTTTCTAAAGAAACTGTTTGGGGCTGCGTCAGTGGGGGTAACAAAATAATTTGAATATAGCAACAAAGTTGAAATGATAAATTGGCCACCGTTACGATATAAAAGCTGATGTTTCGAGCCTTAGCCCTTTTTCTGCCTTTAAAAGCACACACAACCCACAATTCCTCTATTCGCTCCGACAAAGGGCTAACGCTCGAAACAACAGCTTTTATAATCATAACGGTGGCCAATTTACCATTTCAACT